TGATCGATCCAATGTGTGTGATCGCATGCGTGCGTACGCGTGCGTGCGTACGCGTGCGTGCGTGCGCTCGTGTGTAAAGTTGCTTAACAGGAGTCAGGGATCTGTCAATAATTTATCAAATGTTCATCTGATAGTTTTTTCTTCTGAACAACAATAATAAAAACGTTTCCAATCATATACTTCCATATAGTAGTACTTTCACTTGCCATATTTCTCCCATTCACTCTCGCTCTTAAATACTCTCTCCTATATACTCCCACTCTTCCTCGCTTTAAATCTCACTTGTACACACGCGAGCGCTCGCGCGCACACACACACACACACACACACACACACACACACACACACACACAGTTAGAGTTAGGGGGGGACATGATCACCACATTCAAGATTCTCAAGGGAATTGATAGGGGTAGATAAAGAAAGGCTATTTAACACAAGAGGCTGAGAACAAGATGCCATCTGCTTGAAGAAGTAACTGCCCTGATGTTAACGTATCCATTAACCACAGACTTCCTCACAATAATCACGCCTTTTCAACCTCCCTCCCAGGAAGACGTTCGCTTCACAACCAATCCCTCCCCTCTTGAGGGTCTTTGGTTCACTACACCTCTACAACCTTCACATCATGCACAAGTTTTAGTCCAGCAGTAATACTAATACTTACATCATTTAACACCCCACACACACACTATTCCACACTATCCTCACTTTGCAACACTACTCCATCCCTCAGCGTCCACCCCTACACGTATCCTCACCAAAACAGTCCATTTCACCAACAAAACACCATTTCAGCCTATTTCAGAGCCATGTGCACAAATACAGGAAAATTAAACAAACTAATTATTAAAGATAGTCTAGAAGGTGAAGTCAGGGAAAGAGTGCAATTGTGGAATAATAAATAATAAATCCTAGTTAACGCAGAGTTCACTGAGAACTTTAACATAATACCGATACAACAGAGAAATAGTGGCATTAGTGTTGTTCTACTTACAAAGAATGAACCAGATATGGTTAATGGATAACCAAAAATGGGTTCATGAAAGTAAAATCCTGTCCAATAAATTTGAGAGTTAATAGATAAAATGGCCAATATCAACCAGGAAAGGATGTGCAGCTTGCATATTTCTACACCAGCCAGGACGCTCTTGACACTCTATTCTCAGCTGGCTAACAAACTCAACAAAAAAGATGCTGTGATGGCATAAAGTTGGCATGAGGATACCAACACGAAGCGAACACTCACGGTGCATATGCTTGAGTGTGAAAGGGGTATCCCTAGATAGAACCCACACTGTCCTTGCTATATGTAAACTACGTACCTACGGTGAGAGTTACTGTTAGGGTTCGGTATACTGCAACAGGCATCCAATGAACAATCTTTCTTATCTGCACACACACACTACAAAGCGAGGGAGCGCTACAGAATGTTACGCTCTATCACTGTTCATGGAGCCCAGCCTAACAGGACAACCTGAAGGGAAATCAGCTCCTGAAGCAGAAGAAAGAACACTATCTAAAGGTCGACATTACACCAAGTCGAATCCTGGAAGTGTATTCCGAGGCATCATCATCAACAGCACTGTATGCAAATCTGGCAGATAGAATTGCATCTTTCCAGGTGTGGACAAAGTTATCACTGAAAACACTGCTCCTCGCATCACGTCCTCCCAAACTTTCTCTTTTTCCCATCCCAAATCCTTATCCTGACCCCCCCCCCAAGTGCTATATAGTCGTAATGGCTTGCAGCTTTTCCCTGCTAATTCCTTCCCTCCGGTATGGTAAATTACGTTTTCTACGCATCGGACTCGATAACTTGGGTGGGTTGATTTGGCTCGTGCCTTTCTGGTTAGGTTAGGTTAAGTTAGGTTAAATTAGGTTAGTATATTATATTGTATAATGCACAAGCCACTGCCGCCAGATATGACACCTTGACACATACAACACCGAAGCACTGCTATCACTGGGACAACCTCCATAAGGATCCCTAATTAGGGTAAATCCCCAATTAGGGATAATTACTCTAATGTCCTTTGATAATCACCTGTCAGAGAGTTACGGATGAAAGTCAGTGAGTGTAACTGGAAACTGATTGAATATTGGGTTATCATGGACTTGCTCCTCGATTGATTGCCGACGTAAATTGATTAACAGTTATTAAATATTAGCAGGAATTAATTTAAAATTCCTTGGCTAAATTTAATGATCATAAATGATGAAGTGCTATAGCTGACTGGCCCATCATTTGACAAAGCAGGGGGGGGGGGGACCCAATGATAATCTCAAATGTTAATTAACTAAGTTTATTCATGCAAATTATATCCTGACTAGAAAAAGTCCTATAGGCAATGGATATGAAAATATCCAAGTTGTTATAAATATAGATACAGTACATTACCTTACAGGACCTGTAGTAATCCCAGGATCTGTTGTTAAGTCAGTTCCCCTGGAACGGAAACACTCTCTCTTCCTCCCAAGCTACTCTTTAACTAGAGCTACAATGAAACCTCGCCCAATGGGAAAGTCTATTGTGAGGCAGTAACAGGAGCATGTCTATCTTGCCCACCTAAATCCCAAAGGTGGACCCCCACCTCTTGACTCGGGCAGTGATACAAATACCCTAACAACAGGGCAAGGCCTTATCGTGATTCCGTTCTCACAATGGATGCTGCTGGACCCGTATTGTTTAACACAGCCATAAAAGTTGACACGTTAATGGCATCTGCACACACTACGAAGCGAGGGAGCGCTTCAGAATGTTACGCTTGATCTCTGTTCATGTTTCAAACTGTCACAGCTGCATCAGCCCACGTCCTCACTCATGGAACCTCCCGAGGGGTTGTAAACCGCCTACTAACCCCTGGCCCTCTTCACTAACCTCTCCTAACCTCGAGTACCTAACCTACAAAATGGACAACTTTGCCCCTGGGATCTGGCGCTGGTAAACAGAGGGCAGGAGGAGCGGTGTCCAATGGTTGAAACCAACATCTAAACTCACTAACCCACACCACAGGGTTCAAACTCACAGCCTCTACTACTCAACTCACAGCCTTGTTGCCGCTGTACATTTAAGGGCGTGACAAATTAAGAAACTGGGCCGGTTCATCACTTACATGAGACCAGACCTAGAGTATGCAGCACCAGCACGGATGTCTTACTTCAGCAGGCATAAATAGGAAAGCATTATATTACTCAAGTATCTACCATAAGGTTAGAGCCAAGAGTATTATTAGTATTAGGAAAATTGTTATAGGCCAAAATAACCGAACCTCGCATTACCATTCAATTGAGGAATCAGAAGACAAAGACATACATTATGGGAAACAAGTGATAACCTGAGAGACATATCAGCAGGACAGAGAGGTGGTCATTCAGTTTCTCCCTTAATTATCCTACCTGCGTTTACCCACCCATTATCCCACCTGCGTTACCCACCCATTAATCCCCCATTATCCCACCAGCATCCCCATTAGCCCCCACTTGCCCCTTCCTCCCATCTACCCACCTGGATGTAGTTTTAATTAAACATAACTGGTCGTGTTTTACACTTCCTCGGGAGTGTAATTATTTTTTCAATTATATTCTTTTGATATTTTAAACATTATTTATATTAATAATAATTAAACTCATACATTTTCATACATGTATAATTAAGTTCATACACACGGAAAATAAAAAAGGGTATTACTATTAAAGCATTTGAAGAATATCACGTTGATATTTTGCGAAAATCATGTTATGCTCACAGTTAAATAATGCCATCACACTCCAGCAGTCATTCACAGTCATACACAGTCATTCACAGTCATTCACCCGGTCTTATGGTCATATACGCTTCACAGGTCTAGTGTACAGTGCTGCTCGTGAACAGTCATTCACGTTATTCAAAAATGTATGCATTAGCTTCTTACAAACTACTGTTGATAAGTGTGTTTGCTTGTCATACATACCCCCGTGTGTGTTGCCCACACTCATTCCCAGCCTCCTCACACACATTGCCAGCTTCCTCACACTCAATTCCAGCTTCCTCACATTCATTCCCAGCTTCCACACACTCATTCCCAGCTTCCATACACTCATTGCCAGCTTCCTCACACTCATTCCCAGCTTCCATACACTCATTCCCAGCTTCCTCACACTCATTCCCAGCCTCCTCACACACATTCCCAGCCTCCTCACACACATTCCCAGCCTCCTCACACACATTCCCAGCCTCCTCACACTCATTCCCAGCTTCCATACACTCATTGCCAGCCTCCTCACACTCATTTCCAGCTTCCTGAAACTTCTCGCTTCCTCACACACACACACACACACACACACACACACACACACACACACACACACACACACACACACACACACACACACACAAAGGTCCTCGCAGCCGACCGAACAGCAGTCTGAGTTTACAATTCTAAAGGCCCGGGATCGATTCCTGGTCGCGACAGAAAAATAACAGATAATTTCCTAATTTCCTTCACATAATACCATTGTTCACCCAGCAATAAATAGATACCTGGAAGTTAGACAGCTGCTAATGGCTGCATCTCAGGAATGTGTGAAAGATAGAAATATGTAGTAGATATAATAGAGGAAAAATGGGTCGGGTTTTAGTATATACAATCGATAGTTAGGAAGGTGGGGTCCAAGAGCTAACAGCTCAATCCAGCAGGCACAAGTAGTCAATAAAATCAACTGGTAATTTCAAAATATATATTGTCAAACATTTTACATGCTTAATTAAACTAGTCCATATGCAGGCGACGAGTCACAATAACGTGGCTGTAGTATGTTGACCAGACCACACACTAGAAGGTGGAAGGGACGACGACGTTTCGGTCCGTCCTGGACCATTCTCAGGTCGATAAATAGTCCAGGACGGACCGAAACGTCGTCGTCCCTTCACCTTCTTGTGTGTGGTTTGGTCAACAATCTAGTCCATTCCGTACCCTTGGTGCTTCAACACGTATTTATGGCATGTCTCTCTCTTGCAGGCGGGAGATCGGAGCGCTGGAAGCTGAGAACTTCAGCCTGGAGCGTCAACTCTTCAGCTACCAGAAATCCATCGCGTACGCGCACTCGCGCGGGGCGTACGTGGACGACCCCGGGGAAGAGGCGAGCGACTACGCTCACGAGGGCTACGCTAACGGGAAACGGGACTACCACACGTCAGACTACTCCTCCAGGGACTACGACTACACCTACAGCGCCCTACCGGAAAGGGCTTTCTCTACAGACACAGATTATGCGTGAAAGATGACTGGGAAAATCCGTGGTACAACCAAGCTAAAATAGGGACCATCTATCAGGGAGCCCAAGATAAACCGTAAAAAAATGAGAATGACAGAAATAACTTTTTTTGATTGGATAGTTAAATCACTCTACCACAATGATGCAAGGCAAGGGGGGAATCCCTGGGACAGGAAGGAGGGACATTAGAATTGATCATTCAATTCCTGGAACTATGAAGAGTTTGGAAAAGACAATTCTGTAAGGGACTAACCCCTGAACACATCGCCCTTCACAAAACCAAATACAAAATAGTTTTCAGTAATGCTAGGAGGGCCCAGGCAGCCATACGCATCTGCTACCCAGTATTTTAGAGTATAATGAGAGAGGTCTTGCATAGAAGCTGCTTCTGTAACCTATAAAAGTTCTGTGTTCAGAGTCTGTGATGTTTGGGGCCATCCGGCCAAGGTGAACTAGAAATCAAAGGGAATTTATGATAGGAAAGTGTAATAGATCGATATTTTTTAAAGCAGTACGACAAGAGGGTTAATTATATAGGTTTTATTTAGGCATCCTTTAGTACAAGGATCTCACTTTAAACCAGAGAGTTTTATACATTTTATGGAGATCAATGAGAAGGTTAGAGTAGCTTTGGTGAGGAACCTCTCACCTGACTCCCTTGATTAATGAAGTTAGGAGTCTTTGCTTGCTGATCACTGCACAATTATCGCCCGTGGGTTAGGGCGATGTTCTGAGTACAGAGAGACTTTAGTTAGCCACTGTTTCCTTGGTGACGTTTTCTTCACCAAGCAAACAGAAAATGAGGAAGCCTCAGAGCGCCTCGACTGACCAATCACCGTCGCCGACGACACACAGATCCATTATTTAAATAGTGACGTCACTCCGGTAGAAAGTAGTCAAGTGTTCCATTACGGTAGAGGACCTGCGTTGTTAGCAAATATTTGGTAGTTTTATCTTAGGCGTTCTTTACTTACCATAGACCTCTCACAACTGGCGAGAGGTATATAGAGTGTCGTAGATATCTTTCTTATATGCAGTTTTTCCTTATTCAAATCAGAATTTAATATTATATCATCCCGTATAGGCGGCTTAAATCACTTTATTTAGAAGTCTTTAACAACTAGATGTAGTCTTGAAATATTTGAAATAGTAATTTTAAGTTTTCGTTCTATATATATATGTATATATATATATATATATATATATATATATATATATATATATATATATATATATATATATATATATATATATATATATGTAGAACTGGAGTGGTAAGAGTCCATCACCAGTACTAACCAAGGGCCTCTCTGTGACGTGGCTGGTGAATGACATGTCGTTATTAACGACTAACAATAGCGAGAGCGCAACTAACTGGAGGTGGACGACCCGGAGAGTTCACCAGGCCAGCCAGGGAGGAGGAGGGGGGGTCGTCACGAAGGTCGCCTCCCCCCCCCTCCACACCAGCCTACAGGGAGGCCTAGGTGGTGCTGGCCAATCATACCGTCTCCTTCCCTCACCATATCAGCATATACCTGTACATGGTGATAACTCATCTCACGAGAAACACGCGTTGATCTAAGTCCTGTGTCTCCACACACACACACACTCCTGCCCTACCAGGTAACTAGCCCCGTAGCGACCCCCCGAGACCCGTCTTATACGGCTTGTTCAGTCCAGTAATAAAGTACTGAAACCAGGAATACTAGAGTACCCTCTCCTCCTCCCTCCCCCTCCTTCCCTATTAGCTTACTCGATTATAAGGAAACTTTAGATGGAATATTGATAGTTCTTTTACATTCTCCAGGTCCCGGAGGTATGTTTCCCGGGACCTCCAGAGATCCCGGAGGAGAGACCAAAGTCCACAGATCCCAAGTGGACTTTGGGATCACAAGTCTCTCTGCTCAAGCTCATTTCTTTCCAATAACTCTATATGTGAACAGTAGGAGTGATTTCCCCCCAGTAGGCAATATACCCCCAGTAGGCAATATATTATATATATATATATATATATATATATATATATATATATATATATATATGAATGAAAACTCACACCCCAGAAGTGACTCGAACCCATACTCCCAGAAGCAACGCAACTGGTAACTACAGGGCGCCTTAATCCGCTTGACCATCACGGCCGTCAAAAGGAAGTGATAGCCGAGGCTATTTGAGCCACTTCCCCGACGGCAACTCGGATGGTAATCTTGGGCATAGCATTTCACCAAATCACCTCATTCTTTGGGGCACACGTGAGGAACACAAATGCGAACAAGCCTGAATGGTCCCCAGGACTATATGCGAATGAAAACTCACACCCCAGAAGTGACTCGAACCCATACTCCCAGAAGCAACGCAACTGGTAACTACAGGGCGCCTTAATCCGCTTGACCATCACGGCCGTCAAAAGGAAGTGATAGCCGAGGCTATTTGAGCCACTTCCCCGACGGCAACTCGGATGGTAATCTTGGGCATAGCATTTCACCAAATCACCTCATTCTTTGGGGCACACGTGAGGAACACAAATGCGAACAAGCCTGAATGGTCCCCAGGACTATATGCGAATGAAAACTCACACCCCAGAAGTGACTCGAACCCATACTCCCAGAAGCAACGCAACTGGTAACTACAGGGCGCCTTAATCCGCTTGACCATCACGGCCGTCAAAAGGAAGTGATAGCCGAGGCTATTTGAGCCACTTCCCCGACGGCAACTCGGATGGTAATCTTGGGCATAGCATTTCACCAAATCACCTCATTCTTTGGGGCACACGTGAGGAACACAAATGCGAACAAGCCTGAATGGTCCCCAGGACTATATGCGAATGAAAACTCACACCCCACTCGCATTTGTGTTCCTCACGTGTGCCCCAAAGAATGAGGTGATTTGGTGAAATGCTATGCCCAAGATTACCATCCGAGTTGCCGTCGGGGAAGTGGCTCAAATAGCCTCGGCTATCACTTCCTTTTGACGGCCGTGATGGTCAAGCGGATTAAGGCGCCCTGTAGTTACCAGTTGCGTTGCTTCTGGGAGTATGGGTTCGAGTCACTTCTGGGGTGTGAGTTTTCATTCGCATATAGTCCTGGGGACCATTCAGGCTTGTTCGCATTTGTGTTCCTCACGTGTGCCCCAAAGAATGAGGTGATTTGGTGAAATGCTATGCCCAAGATTACCATCCGAGTTGCCGTCGGGGAAGTGGCTCAAATAGCCTCGGCTATCACTTCCTTTTGACGGCCGTGATGGTCAAGCGGATTAAGGCGCCCTGTAGTTACCAGTTGCGTTGCTTCTGGGAGTATGGGTTCGAGTCACTTCTGGGGTGTGAGTTTTCATTCGCATATAGTCCTGGGGACCATTCAGGCTTGTTCGCATATATATATATATATATATATATATATATGTTAGTGGGTATGTTGTGAGGCATCAGTGAGTGGAGTGGAGTGTTGTTAGTCTCTCTGACAGACACTTTATAAGTAATTGGTGGTTATAATGAATGTTTCTCTCTCTCTCTCTCTCTCTCTCTCTCTCTCTTCCTTCGACTGGACTTCTGTCTTTCCTCTGACAGTCTATTTCTCTTCTACCATTGTATCTCACAGACTCTTCTGTTATCATTGTTTTTATTCCATTCCAGTTACCTACCAACACTACCAGCGTCACTCACTACCATCCTCACTATCAGCCTCACTACCATCCTCACTCACTATCAGCCCCATTCACTTCCAGCCTCACTATTAGCCCCACTCACTACCAGCCCCACTCACTATCAGCCTCACTCACTATCAGCCCCACTCACTATCAGCCTCACTCACTATCAGCCCCACTCACTATCAGCCTCACTCACTATCAGCCTCACTCACTATCAGCCTCACTCACTATCAGCCCCACTCACTATCAGCCTCACTCACTATCAGCCTCACTCACTATCAGCCCCACTCACTATCAGCCTCACTACCAGCCTCACTCACTATCAGCCTCACTCACTACCAGCCTCACTCACTACCAGCCTCACTCACTACCAGCCTCACTCACTACCAGCCTCACTCACTATCAGCCCCACTCACTATCAGCCCCACTCACTACCAGCCCCACTCACTATCAGCCCCACTCACCATCAGCCTCACTCACTATCAGCCCCACTCACTATCAGCCCCACTCACTATCAGCCCCACTCACTATCAGCCCCACTCACTATCAGCCCCACTCACTATCAGCCCCACTCACTACCAGCCTCACTCACTATCAGCCCCACTCACCATCAGCCTGACTCACTATCAGCCTCACTCACTATCAGCCTCACTCACTACCAGCCTCACTCACTATCAGCCTCACTCACTACCAGCCTCACTCACTACCAGCCTCACTCACTATCAGCCTCACTCACTATCAGCCTCACTCACTATCAGCCTCACTCACTATCAGCCTCACTCACTACCAGCCTCACTCACTACCAGCCTCACTCACTACCAGCCTCACTCACTATCAGCCTCATTCACTATCAGCCCCACTCACTATCAGCCTCACTCACTATCAGCCCCACTCACCATCAGCCTCACTCACTATCAGCCCCACTCACTATCAGCCTCACTATCAGCCCCACTCACTATCAGCCTCACTCACTATCAGCCTCACTCACTATCAGCCTCACTCACTATCAGCCCCACTCACTATCAGCCCCACTCACTATCAGCCCCACTCACTATCAGCCCCACTCACTATCAGCCCCACTCACTATCAGCCTCACTCACTATCAGCCCCACTCACTATCAGCCTCACTCGCTATCAGCCTCACTCACTATCAGACTCACTCGCTATCAGCCTCACTCACTACCAGCCTCACTCACTACCACCGTCACTCACTACAGCCTCACCCACTATCAACTTCAGCCACATCCAGTCTCACCATCCAGCCGCCACAACTATTTGGGGTGGACGATAGAGCGACAGTCCTCGACCGGCTTAGTGGTTGAGCTCCATTCCTTTCCCCCGTTCTATACCAAATCCTTATCCCTTCTGACTTACATAGTCGTAAAGGCTTGCTTATATCAGGAGATATAGAATGATCTACTGATTATTACATTCCCTTCACCATCCAGCCCCTCTCACCACTATCCCCTCTCACCACTAGCCCCTCTCACTACCAGATCCACTAACCACCATCCCCAATGCCTTATTCCCTCCAGATCTCCCTGCTTTCTTAATTAAAAGCAATGCTATATTGCATTAACTCATCAGTTAACCCTTAGCCTGCGCTGAACGTCATATGGCGCATAATGGACCAGACGATCAAAGTGCTCCTTACATGACAATTGTCACTTCGTAATTTCAGATGGACCGAGTTCTGCTAATTAATCCCCATCCTTAACAAGATTAGATGCCTCTGCTTATTATTACGTATCGAGAAGATCAAGCTCGCTTTGATACATATCGTAGCTGACCTTCAGGGTCGTGTGACATCCCCGCAGGTAATGATTGTTCAAAACATGGAAACAACACCATCCTTCAATCTCGCATGGGAATCAAACCCATGAGAGGGCAAAGGAAGCTCTTGATGCGCAAGTTCAGGAACTGTTCTTGATTTTACTATTTAATCGACATGGAATTCTGGATGTGCAGGACTGTACTTGCATAACTTTGGTTATTAAGAACGTTTTGCCGTTTCTATTTTTGTCGTATTTTTAATTCATTTTAATTTTGATGAATTAGTTTTTGTTTACGAGTGCTTTTGAGAGTTAAGCGTATGGGTGAGCCCAGCTGACATATTGTGCAGTTCAAGGGTGCGTGGTGTTAGGGTGCGCGGTGTTAGGGTGCGCGGTGTTAGGGTGCGCGGTGTTAGGGTGCCCAGTGTCAAGGGTGCGCAGTGTCAAGGGTGCGCAGTGTCAAGGGTGCGCAGTGTCAAGGGTGCGCAGTGTCAAGGGTGCGCAGTGTCAAGGGTGCGCAGTTCCAGGGTGCCTAGTTCCAGGGTGCGCGATGTCAGGTGCGCATATATTATTAATTATATATATATATATATATATATATAATGTCGTACCTAGTAGCCAGAATGCACTTCTCAGCCTACTATGCAAGGCCCGATTTGCCTAATAAGCCAAATTTTCCTGAATTAATATATTTTCTCTAATTTTTTTCTTATGAAATGATAAAGCTACCCATTTCATTATGTACGAGTTAAATTTTTTTTTATTGGAG